GTACTACAAATAAACCCCCTTTAACCATCCAATTACATCCAATGCAATCACAATCTACGATACCCGAATATTCGCACTCGTTATATAGGTAGGGTAGGGGTAAAGAAGGCAGGTAGGTAGGTAATTTAGTAAGCTGAGATAGATAGATATCTTGGAGCGGACCGACTTTTACTAACCGAGGTACCTACCTAACCACCACCCATACCTACACCAAACTTCCTTTAGAGTTTCCAGTACCTACCAGTTAGTAAAATAAGGATCAGGAGGTCCGTCATAATCACAGTCACAATCACATCAATAAAGACATTTGATTTTCTTTTTGAACTTGCGCAGTTGTAATTCTCGCTATTTGGGTATCTATCTCTCTTGGCTTGACTGATTCAGATCCCGAATCAAGGCACTGCGCAATCGCTCACTCACTTCGCTTCACTTCAACCACTCTTCAACTATCGTAGCACACATCCCCTTCTCATCCCCATTCCATTCATGTACAAAAAGGCACTGCTCAAAGCAGCGCGCACCATGGTATCATCCATCCTCGTACGCCAGTGGTATCGTAAGCAAAGTGAAAGTAAAAAAACGCACGCGACGTTTTTTTGCCCTTTATCCGAAAGCAAAAAAAAAAAAAACTCTTTTCCCATCCGAACCCTTGAGGGCCCATAAAAACGCCGATTGATGTATATGTTGAGGCCGTATAAAGTATTGTGCTGATGTTTAACACCAGTATGAAAGAAAAAAAAAGGAAATGCGCTATGCTCGCTGATGTAGCAAAAAGACATTATGCCAATGCTGTTTGTCCATTCGACCCAATGAAATTGCAGGTCTGGTTCTGTGCCAAGAACTCGGAGACGATGAATGCTGGTGGGCTGTGAAGCCGATGTTAGGCTTTAAGTATGCCAGAACGTGTAATATATTTCAATGTGATGCTGTGTCCGTCCTTAAGGCGCAAAGTGTTGGTGGTGATTCCGGCTCTTATTACAATTAAGTATGCGTCTTATATGAGAAATCTCTGGTAGATCACCATCCCTTGGAGTGGTACTCCCCTAGGCCGCCTTCGAAGTACTGATTCCAGCTCGCATTGACTGCGTCACCATCTTTGCTCTCCATGTGTACCTTCTCGGGATACTGTTTGAGGTTTGCAACATCCTGAGTAGTATGTCTACGCTTGAGAACCGCGTTTGCGGTTTGCGACTTTTGTCGGTGTTCGTGAACAAGATGTTGCCGAAGACTCACGGTGAGCTCGTCATAGATCATCTTTCGACGCGTTGTTCTCGGGGAAAGCGCTTGCTGATGAGGAGTGATATTTGTTGTAGTCTGGATAATAGGTTGTGCTGAAGTACGAGCAGCTTGAGGAATCTCGGCAATTGGCTTTAGACCTCTCTTCATCATGAGAGGAGACGCGTCGTCAGAGTCGGGGGAAGCGGCGAAGGAAGGACCATTGGGCGAGGTCGTTCGCGATCTTTGGAGGGCCGGTGTGGATCTCGAAGTTGTAGCTGCTGCTTGCGCCAAAGCGTTGGCACGATCACTTTGGTGAAGCATTGTGGTGATTAGAGAACGGCGCGAGGTGAGATTTGCCTTTGAATCGACGCGTTGAAAGAATGTTCTCTCGTCGATGCTTGCGTTGCCACTGCCCTCTACTGAATCCTCCCAGTCCGAAGAGTCATCGTCATCATCAATCGCGCTCTCATCAATGTCGTCCTCCTCATCGGTCTCAAATACATCATCGTCAAACGGTTGCTCTTCCTGGATTGTTCGTGTTGCTACCTCCTCTTTGAAAGATGTTTGCTTCTTGGCAGGGAGAGGACGTTGCAGACCATTGGCTAGTGCGCTTTGGCTCTTGTTAATCTTAGCTGGTAGAGAGCTTTCGTCTTCGTTTGAAGACCCACCAAAGGAGAACATGGCACTCTTCTTCTTTGGTTTTAAGATAGGCTTAAGGCTGTTCTCCATAGAGTTGTTCTGCTCACTCGTAGAGTCTTCCGCAGAGGATCCTCCTAACGCAAACATGGTCTGCTTTTTTGGCTGTGGGCCTCTGACGGGATTGGAGGCGGTGATGGCAGCGAGATCCACTTCGGGGATGGATGCTGGGGTGTTGAGGAGGGGAATCGACCTATATGAGGAGCTGACATGTGATGGTGAAAAGCCCTTGACTACGCTAGTTGTGCTCCGCTCTGAAGTGCAGCTTACACCGTCTGAATTGGTCGACTCGGCTGAGTTATCAGGGGCAGGCTCGGCCAAGTTGTTTTGGACCGAGGGTATTGAGATTTTTGGCGCAGGTGCAGATATTTGCTTTGGTCTTGGTTGAGGTGGTGCAATGATTGGGGCAACAGGTGCGAGGTACGAGTGGGTGCTGATGGAGAGCGGCTCGATGTTCTTCTGTGACTTTATGTTAAGGACCATCTTCTCGAGATCGTCAGGCGTGATGTGTCGTTCACGGCCTCGACTCCGGCTGCTCACAGAGTCTTGTCTGTATATTTGAGGGTGTAGGATGCTAAGGGGAGCTGCATCGGAAGCCAGGGTGGAGTCGTCGAATTCGAGAGCTTCTTCGTCGGGCAATGAGTCGAGACTACCGGACAGACTTGGTACTTCGTTGGAAGAATATCGACCATCTGGACTTCTTGACGCGATCGAGGTGGCTGGTGTAGTGGCGTTTGCTTCTGAGATAGGGTCGCAACAGAAGGTCTCTCTATTCCATAATCTCCAACTCAGGTTCTCTAACCGACGCCCTTGCTCTAATGATGCGGCACATCTTGAGAATACTACACGCGGGTTAGTACTTGAAGACGCGGCCAGTTCCAATTATGCGGTAGGACTCACCTGTCCACATGCTGAAGAGATTCTCGACATTGCGAGTGTCGACCTTGTGTATGAGACCCACGTCTACCGTTAAGACGGGTGCATCTAATCGAGAAGGCATTGTGGGGTCCTGTTCCTGTCTGCTTGAGCGCACGCGCTGCTATAATCTCTGAGACACGACTGCTGTGGAGTGCCCGCGATGTAAACGCGAAGCAGAACTGGAGAATGTAATTTGGTGTGTTCTAGGGGTTGTGGTGGTGGTGGTGGATGGGAGATGTGAATGTTGCGGTTGTTGTTGTTGTAGTATTTTGACTATGGTGGGTAGGGCGGTGTTAATCCGAGTGCTGCAATCGTAACCGATACTCTGATTGTTGGGCGGCGGTGACATGCAGTAAACGACGGGGTGCAGATGATGAATTGGATGATGCTGGAACTATCGATGCGATGCGCTGAGATGATTCTATGGTGCAAGTACTTTTTGGTGAAGGGTTGATTGAAATGCAGAGTTTCGAAGAGTGGTGGCTGCTGGTCGGTCTGGGGAAGAAGGGTGCTTTTCTTTGTCTTTGGTCTCAGGTAGTAGTGATCTGGACATGCGGTGGAGTAAGTACCCTACGGAAGAGTGGGCGCCCAAATAAGTGGATACTGGACAGGACAGGACATGCATGGGTGCGAACGGCCCTACCATGATTCAAGCTTGTTTGTTCTGGGCCAAAACCCTGCCCAGTGCCTGACTCACGCTAGTTTCTAGCGCCGTCAAAGCCCACGCGGCGTTAAACCCAATGGGGTAACCTCTTCAGGAGGCCCTGGTGTGGGCCCAAACATGCTCGCGGGACTTCTTGCGGCCTTCCGGCTGATGATGGATTTTACGAGTCGTGTTCAAGTACGGCGGTCAATCCCACGATACGCGGTAGCGTAGTCACCATTGGTGCGCATGTTGTCTTGATGGTTTTCTGAGAGTATCTTCATAATCAGGTAATCGATCTATCGATCAGTCCAGTCAGTACAGTACGGCGGGTACAGCGGTTTGGTATTTACATCTACGAAGTATTTGCATCCATTTACTCCGAAGAACCCTCAAGAGTCAAGAATCGAGTATCCACAGGGGTCTCGTGTGAGTGAAATCATGGGGGTGGATATCACCACATGGCAATGGCAGCGGCAGTACCAGTCCAGTAGTTGATCGGGCTCCCAAAGCCTGAACGGCTGAAGAGTTACTCGCGTACGGACCTATCTCTCGTCTCGTATACAATCAAAATCGCCGACGAGTATAACTATCGGTCGGCTTCAGCGAACCAGAGCCCAAATCTGGAGAAGGAGAGTCATGTGTCTGGCCCAAGATCTCGAGGCATTATGCCTGCCTGAATCATCCATCGCTATGAAGGGATCCGCAATGAACCTGGCCCGCGCATTACCGTGCTCTATCAAAGCTCATTACTCGGTACAGTACACTCAAACAGCTGGAGCATAGGACTGAGCGTTGTGGCATTGTTCACGGATGAAAGGCCGCGAGATGATTCCAGGTTGGACTTGCATGACTTGAATGACTCGTCGCCATTCATCGCAGCCTTCCTCCACCTCTGTGGTTCTGCCTTGTCTGCCTTGACCCCCAAGATCTCAGCCTTCTCCAACTCCCAATCGTTTGGAAGGCGATCTACGAATCTATCCAGGTTCGGTAAAGCTCTGCAAGAGGAAGAACGTCGGGACACTAAACCGTTAGCCTGTTAGCACGAAGGGGAGCTGGGTCAATTGTCAGCCTAATGGAGTATCTCGGCCAAATTATGAAGCCCCGCATGCTTTTGTGCCACCCAGCTGCCGGACCTGAAATTTCAGCGGTCGCTTATTGAACAAGGCCCGTGGCAGGAGTGCGTCGTACTCCATAGACCTCAGGTCGGAAAATATAGGCGTGAAAACACTGAAAACCCACTGTAAACCCCACTGTAACTCCCTATAACTCCCTAGCTCTTTAGGGGTCTTTCTCTTCTGACAGTCAGTTGTCAATAGGACTGGCACATGATGCATCCCGAGACGTTGGTTCAGGCACCTTTGGAAAGTTCGGGGTAAAGGGAAGGCTTCAGAGAAAGGACTATCGCTAATATCAGATCCTCTACTGTATGACTTGATTAGACTCCTAATACTTATCATGAGCTGAAACCATTTCTCTCAATACGTTTGTGCTGTGTGTGTATGTGACGTGAACAGTCTGACTGTTTCTTTGCTTTTACAACACATCGTCTTGCCTGCAAGCTGCCAACGTTGAATGTCTCAGAAGCCCTGTCCTGTCCTGAATAATTCAATAAACGTTTCTTCCTCTGCGGGGTTTTAAATTTATTGCTTTCTTGCACCACCACGAGACCAGATCCCATTGTCCCTTCTCTTTGATACCTGAACAAAGGGCAATCATTTCACACGTGGGATACCGGGACATTACTTCGGAATAGGTACGTACCCGAGCCTCGGGATCCCATGGGAGCGAGCAAAGAGGGGAAGGAAGACAGGGCAATGACTGCATTTCCATATGAAAATCATCATGGCATCAGGAACCAAATTAGGATTTGGAATATCACCTCCTTAGGGAATCATGGCGCAGTGCAGTGCTGCGCTGTAGGGTAATTAATTGATTGCCAGCTAAATTTACCTGACGAATGTACAACATCATCCAACTCTACAGTAGAGTCCAAACATAGACTTTACAGATGAGGTGACATCTGTAACACCACTTGGCAAAGCAAGTCATCGCAGGCGTTCGGAGGCGTACAAGTGCCTCGCAGTCTTTCTTCCCCGGAAAAATATTAGCCTCGCCATCTGGCATGACATGGCACGACATGAAATGCTCCCGAAATGGTGTAATACTGGTAATTCGTCCCAAAACAGTTCGATGCGACTCAGTTCCTGCTGCTACTCTTGCGAGATATGTTACACGGTGGAAGATGCAGACGCAGACGGCCATAAATCCGTTGGTAAGCATCCCGGGTTCTGGGATCTCCTGCGAGCAAACGAATAAAAGCTGGCCTCCTGCCAGAAGCCAAAAATACCCATACGGAGTCTGTACACCGTACCCATGCCCATACAGACCCCCATATCCAGCCAGCCTCACCCCCCCCCCCCCCCCCCCTTTTTTTTTCTTTCTGGAAGGCAACCTCATCGAGACAGGGGCTCACACCCCAACCT